GGCGCGGCGGCGGGCCTCGGGAAGGGCCTGGTAGCTGCCTTTCCGCACCTGCCGGCCGGGACAAAGGCGCGCCGCGGTCTGGAGACTCCCCGCGCCCCTCTTTCCCGCTCGTCGCGGGGCAGCTTCAAAGCTGTCAACGTTTTCCTTAGTCCCCCGCACCAGTGACAGGTCGGGAAAGTCCTATTCATTTGCCCTTAGGGCCTCGGTTTTTTGTTGTTGTTGTTTTGTTTCTTGACAGTTCGACGCAAACTCTCTCAATGATTTTTTTTTCCGTGTTACCGTTCAGACCGAATATTTTTATCAATGGGATTATATTTAGAGTAAAGGCCAGCCAGATATTTCGGCTTCTCATCTGCAACACCAGAGAGTCGGGGTTATATATGATTATATATGTGTCCTGGTTTTTTAAATATTTTTCCGTCTCTTAAGGTTTTTTACTTTCTGAAAGGAAAACATAGTTTTGTAGGGGAGATTTCGGTTTTCGGAAGAAATTTCCATTTGTAGGGGAAGAAAGAGTGGCAAAAATGTAGAAGAAATCCTGAAAAGCAAATGACAAATACACAGTATAGTGGATATGAAATTATTATAATTTGTATAACAATTATAGAAGCATATGCTGGAGTAAAACATTTAATTAATTTACCAACACACTAGACTTCCTCAAAAATGATTTTAGATGTTATGTTTTTTCCGTTAAGTGATGCACTTTTTCTCAAATATAATTCATAAGCAAATTAGACTCAATACAAATATAAAAGAGTAGTATAATTTTGTTTTATTACTTATTAACAAATTGCCCATATTTGAGATTTTAAGATCCACAATTGAAGATTGGAAAGTATCTTTTGAAAAGATGTTTCACTTTAAAACAGTAACAAATATGTGTATGGATGAATGGAATGCCTTGACCACTTTGTTTGCCCTTGGGAATGTACAAAATACCTCAAATATTAATTGTCTACCAAAATTTCCAAGATAAGGAAATTGGTATATTGATAGACTACTACCAAGCCATCAAATATCATGAAGAAGAATGTTGACTTCGAAGAATCTTCCCTAAGTTAAAACACAAGCTGCAAAATAATACATATGGTTTGTTAGTATCTTTGTTAGAAAAAATAATAGTTCACTAAGGCATAAATAGCAAAAGCCAATAGCAAAATGCCAATATTAAGAGGGATTTTTCTGTGGGAAGTATGTTTATAGGTGCTTTTTTTTCTTTAATCTTCTGTTTTCCAAGATTTTTGTTTTAAATATATATTACAATACTAACTATAACTATAAATACAGGACAGTACTAAAAGTTTATAAATTATCAAAATATACCATTTGGCTATACTGAGTGAATATTCTCTTAATTGCACATTATAAAGTGTTCTTACTTTCCACTATAAATTATCATTGGTTTTCAAAGTTTTGGAATTGTGACTGTAATCAAGGCCGTTTTAAAACCTGGAATTTAACTCCAGAATATTTCTTTCCTCTTCATGGGAAAATAATTGCTGAAGGGATGCTTACAGTCCTTTTACGCTATATAGATAAACTTTTTTTTTTAAAGTCCCACGAAAGTGCACTTTTAATACATTTATTAAGAAGATAAATTGAGCACCCAACCTATACCAAATACTATTCTATATAAGAGAGGGCTACAAAAATGAATATGATGCTGTTCCCATGCCCAGGGAGCATGCAGTCCTACAGTTGTGCTTTGAAGTTTCAAAGTGATTTCATGTACCTAGTCTCATTTCACTGTCACAATAATCTGAGGGATATACGTACACTTTTCTGGTCTCTTTTTAGAGATGAGGAAACATCTGAGAAGTTGTGACTCAGGCAACATCAAACGAATAATTACAGGTGGAAGACATGGGGCTCCTATTCTGGTCTTCTGAGCATAGGTCCTGTTGCTCCTCCCACTTTGCAACACTGCCTTTCTTGCCAAACTTCCAAAATATGTTTTAAAATGTGTGTTTTAGATAAGAAAGTAAAATTATCCTTAAGTTGCATCTTTTTGTCTTATCAAAGTGAATTAATGATTTAATGATCTTTGGATATTGTATCACTCAAACTACATACTCACACATGCCGGAAATTTATATTTTTTTGTCATTTGATTTTTCAGTGGATTATTTATAAAAGTAATTTTGAACCCCTGCCAAAATGGCTTAAGCCTTTTTTTTTCCTTTTGATCTTGCTGAACTTATATATGGTGTCTTTCCAGTGCAGATAGGATGTTTGGAAAGAAATGTTGTCTTTTTCTGAATGTTTTTTTGGGGGGGTGGGGGAGAGTTTTCCAGACTCTTTGCTCACATGAGCCATTCTCGGTTTATTCCAGCTTGACAACACTTGGTGTCACATGTGAGCCTCCCACATTTGTTCACTCTCCATTCCAGCTCTGTGATTGAACTCTGCTCTTATTGACTAGGGGGCAATTGGGCAGGCATGCTTCATTCCTGGAATTGACAGTCACTCCATGTGAGTAAAGGGGAACCTCAGTGAGACATCTTTAAGCATATGAAAGCATTCGGTTTTAAAATGGAAGAAATACGAGGTATTAGCCTTTGTTGCAAGTTTGTCTGATAGGTGTAAGTGAACTGATATGCCTGTTTTCTCCAGTTCTCTTACCTTTCTTTAGTGGGCCTATTTGAATGTTTTCTATCTATTCACACTCATTTTTACTCTTTCTGACCCTGCTTTTCTATTTCCCCCTTCTCTGCCTTGTTCTTGTCTTTCAGTTTTGAATATACTAATACTGAATCAGCACTTCTAAAGCCCTGCTTTCTCCCACTGGCTTCACTGGGCATTCAGACATAATGAGGAGACTGGCTTTTCGAGGCGCTGGTTGTGCTCTGGTAAAGCTGGTAAATTACTGATCATCTACACCCTTTCCCTTTTCTGTCCTTCCTTGCCTTTTCCCTACCACCTTTATTAAATTTTTGTTATCCTTCCCATAAAGATTCCCTCTTCATATTCATAAGATTCACTCGTTTCTGTGTTATAGATTGTTTACAAAGGATTGGTTCTTAATTACTTTATCTTAATGAATTGAGGTCAGTTTATTAGCCTTTTATAAAACAAATAAAAATCAACAAAACTTGGCTATGTTTTGGTCTAAGCTTTTTGAAGCTTTTAGCCACTTTTAGCCAACTTTAACCAATATACTGTATAACAAACCAAAGCTTAGGGGAAGTAAAATCATCCTGGTAGGTTTTGTTTTAAACACCATGTGGACTTTAATTTGAAGGAAGAGATATGAGACTACTCATTTTTTTTTTTTTCCTTTTTGTCTTTTTTCGTGTCCGGCAACGGATCGCAACCCTCAGTGTCGCGCCCGTACCGGACCGGGACCAGCAACGGGATTGCAACCCTCGGTGTTGCGCCCGCACGTCACTCAGCCAGTGAGCGGGAACCGGTCTGTATGTGGGATCCGAACCCTCGGCGGGAGCGCCACTGCGCTCCCAAGCAGCGCACTGCAGCAGTGCGCCACCGGGCCGGCCCCGAGACTACTCTTGTTTATTAGTTACTTACCAGGGTTTTTTATTTGTTTTGCTTCTACTTTCTGTTCCCTGGAGATCCCCAACTTTTCTCTCCATACAACTAGCAACCAGTGCTACTGGAGTGTTCCTATTCATCCAGCTGCTAGTGTCTTGGTTTCCTAAAATTGAATGTCATTGAATGAAACTGGCATCTGTTTTTTCTTTTAGTTTTAGAAGGCCTTTAAAATCAGGATATACTGTTTGATACTGTTGTTGAATTGTACAAGCATTGCAGGACTTTGTTGGGTATACACCCTTTCTATCTGTAGCAGATTATTTCAGTGGTTTCATTTCTTATGTTATAGTCAAATGCATTATTTGTAAAGTGTGTTAAGATTAGTTACTTACTAGCCAGCCCAAAGCTGAAAGCAAATATTTATGTGTTTCTGAATGGCCAAGCAGGACCTAAAAGCTCACATGTGGGGTGCTCTTCCAGATCATCTACTGAGAATTAAAGCTATGGATGGTTTCAGGGTTGGCCCCTGGCTCACTTGGTAGAGTGTGGTGCTGATAATACCAAGTCCATGGGTTCGGGTCTGTATATAGGGATGACCGGTCAGCTCACTTGGGAGAGCGTGGTGCTGACAACACCAAGTCAGGGGTTAAGATCCCCTTACAGGTTACCTTTAAAAGAAAAAAAAAAAAAAGCTATGGTTTCAAAATTTATGGGGATAGAGTACCTCAGGCAAATATAACTGAAAAGGAAATTAGCCTGGATTAGCAGAAGAGTTTCAAAGCACAGTTTGCTATTTCTGCCTAGGTATGGCAGGTCACATTAAGTGTTTTCCAGGAGTATGTCTTGTGGATCTTGCTTTAATAAACGGAGAAATTCATTTTCGGGGTGTTCATTTTAGAGAACATCTAAAATGCTGGAAGGTTAATAGTCCTCTATCCCTTTAGCTTTTTGCACTACTTGTTTGCCTTAGGCACTGCTTCTTACCTTTTTCCACATCATAGCCTCCCTGGAAAATGATCGTAATTATAAGGCACACAGGAAAGCAGGTGAGGCTGCTGACTCCACAAGTGACTACCTTGGGGCCTCTGTTCCCCAGGCCTGCCTGGCTGCCTCATGGGCTGAGGGGTCAATACCTCCAGCACACTGATGTACCATTATAAATGGGTTGGGAAACTCCAGTCCAGGGTGAATTTGGGACCAGAAGTGGTTGAGTCATTCAAAATTGGTGATACACAAATGAGTATACTTTTGTTGAATTTGTCCCATCAGAGTTGAAAGTGTAGCATTCTGGTAAGTGAAACGGCTAAAACAACAAGATTTAGGACTTAAACCAAAAAAACTTACAGCTAGTTACAACTCCTTTGCAACAGTTAAAATGTCATCCTAAGTGAACCACAAGCTTGGTGGCAGAGTCTAAATTTAAATATATGAACATGGCTAATTATTTCTTATAGAAGAAGTTGGATTCCATGGGTTCCAAGAGAAGAAGAGCTACTTCCCCTTCCAGCAGTGTCAGTGGGGACTTTGATGATGGGCACCATTCTGTGTCCACACCAGGCCCAAGCCGGAAAAGGAGGAGACTTTCCAATCTTCCAACTGTAGATCCTGTGAGTAACTTGGATCACACGGTTTCTGCCTGCTTTTCGCACAATTCTTCTACCCTTCCTTTAATGCTAAAGCAGTTAATATGCAAGGCTTCTCCACTTGCTTTTAATCTGGCTTGATAGTCTTAACCTTTCTTCTATGAGAAGAATGTATTTGGCCAAAAGTCTTACAGTAATAGTAAATTTAGTACTATGAAATAATAAAGAACATCAGTATGTTACATCATATATTTATTCAGCAGTAATTGTATGCCTGGCAAGTGACACACACTGTTCTGGTGGTTGGGATATAGCCATGTGTGAGAGAAGCCCATTTTCACATGGAGCTTAGATTCCAGAGTGGAGGAAGTAGAATGTAAACAAGTGAACAAATAGATAATAAAGTACTCAGCTAGTGATAAGTTCAAAGAAGAAAAGTTTGGATGATTTGGGCAGTTTGGGCCTGAATCTTCTGGAAAATTTTCTGTTTTGAGAAGGCACCAACCCTGCAGAGCCCCGGAGAAGAGTGTTTCAGGTAGAGAGGCTGGGCCAGGGATAGGTTTGGTGTGTCATGATTACACAGAGGTGGTCAGGAGGGAGGAGACTGGTGAATTCTACTTAGCCAGTATGTAGGGCCTCTGTAGGCAATATTAGGAGTTTAGACTTTGTTCTCTGTTGTGGTGAGAAGCCCATCTATTGGATGATTTTAAGCAAGAGAGTGATATGAACATATTTAGTTTAAAAGAAAAAGAAAATCACCAGTAGCCAAAATCTGATGAAAGATACCAAAAACTTAATTAAATTATTTTAAAGTAGAGATGCTGTCAGTGTATTTCAGACTTGGGTTCTCATGTTATTTGGGGATTTGTCGTTTTTATTCTGTACTTGCCTTTTATGAGTATGTTTTTATTAAAGAATAGAGAGAATCCTTATGCCTATACTAGCTTTGTGGTGGGGAGGGGGGGAGTTTGGTGATTTTTCTCCTTTTCCTATGTGTAGATTGCTGTGTGCCATGAACTCTACAACACCATTCGAGACTATAAGGATGAGCAGGGCAGACTCCTCTGTGAGCTCTTCATTAGGGCACCGAAGCGAAGGTGAGTTGGAAGACTCTCAATACAGTAAGAGGGATTTGATCCAGGGTCCATGTTTAAGGTGTTTGGAAATTGAGTTTTCCTTTAGAAAGAATACTTTAAATAATACTAGAGTCTAACTTTAGTCTTAATTGTTGAGATGTAGTGAAGCATTTATTAATTTAAAAAAATTTTTAATTGTAAAAAACGTGTAACATAAAATGTACAGTCTTAACCATTTTTCAGTATATAGTTCAATAAACATTAAGTATATTGACATTGCTGTGCAACGGCCTCCAGAACTTTTTAACATTGCAGAACTGAAACTCTATACCCATTAAACAATTCCCCATTTCCCCCTCCTTCCAGCCACTGGCAACCACCATTCTATGTTCTGTTTCTAATTATTTGACTACTTTAGGTACCTAATATAAATGCAATTATACAGTATTTGTCTTTTGTGATTGGCTTATTTCATTTAGCATAATGCCCTCAAGATTATTCATCCATGTTATGTAGCATGCCACAAGATTTCCTCCCTTTCTGATGCTGAATAATATTCCATTGTGTGTGTTTATCACATTTTGGTTATCCATTGATATGTTGATAAATTCTTGACTTGCTTCTACCTCTTAGCTATTGTGAATAACACTGTAATGAAAATAGATATACAGATACATCTTCAAGATTCTGCTTTCAATTCTTTTGTGTATATACCCAGAGGTGGGATTGCTGGATCATATGGTACTTCTACTTCTAATTTTTTGAGGATTTGCCATATTGTAATCAGTAACAGATGCACCATTTTATATTCCCACCAACATTGTACAAGGGTCCCAATTTCTCCAAATCCTCACCAACCTTTGTTATTTTCTGGGTTTTTTTGGACAGTAGCCATCCTAATGGGTGGGAGGTGGTATACCATTGTGATTCGTGTTTGCATTTCCCTAATGATTAGTGATGTTGTTACCAGGCCCAAGTTTGGCTGCCTGCCCCAAACAAAAATAAATAACTCAAAAGTCAAATGTTGGTGAAAATGGAAGTCAGCTTTAATTCAGGAATACCAGTGACCTGAAGAGAGATGTTAGACTAGCCCATCTCTCCAGGAAACCTGAAGGAGAATGGCCAGACTAAGCCATCCCCCCTGTAAACCTGAAAGAGAATGGCCAGACTAAAACCATCCCAAACACTCATATTTACTGAGAGGTTTTTAAAGAGGGGGCTGAGGGAATGGAATGTGAGAAATGAAAAGCAGGAAGGAAGGGGACTTGAGCCACAGGGGCTCCATGCAAGGACCAGGTGCCAGGTCTTGCCGAGGCTCCGTCTGGTTTCTGTTCCCATCCTTGGTGTCACCTTAGGGTCCTGCTGGAGGGGTGGAATCAGCTTAATTCTATTGATGTCTTCCGTGGTTTATCAAGATTTGGATAGTACGTGTCTTGTAGCAAGTCTGCAGCTCCAGGCTGAGTGAAAAGCAACCTTACATTTATGTAAATAATGTCATCTTGCCCCATAACGAGGTTCAAAATATCAAATAACCAGGGCACAAAAAGGGAACTCAGAGGAAAAATACATGCTAAGAAAAAATTGTGTCTTAAAAATCTTAATCTGTTTTGTTTTTTCTGGGTTTTTTTTTGTTTTGTTTTGTCTTTTTCCGTGTCCGGCAACGGATCGCAACCCTCAGTGTCATTGTGTCTTAAAAATCTTAATCTGTTTTGTTTTTTCTGGGTTTTTTTTGTTTTGTTTTGTCTTTTTCCGTGTCCGGCAACGGATCGCAACCCTCAGTGTTGCCCCCGCACCGGACCGGGACCGGCAACGGGATCGCAACCCTCGGCGCTGCTCCCGCGCCTCGCTCAGCCAGTGAGCGGGAACCGGTCTGTATGTGGGATCCGAACCCTCAGTGGGAGTGCCGCCGTGCTTCCCAAGCGGCGCACTATCGCAGTGAGCCACCGGGCCGGCCCATTTTTTCTGGTTTTTTAAAATTATTTTTTTTATGAAGGACAATTTCGGAACAGATGGAAAAATATGAATGGTGTCTGCAGATTAGATGGCAATACTGTATCAAAGTTCATTTTCTGATTTTGATGCTTAAGTTGTGGTCCTTGTTTGTAGGAAATCTACACTAAACTATCAGGAGTGATGAGACATCGTGTCAGAGCTTACTCAAAAAAAAAAGGACTGTTCTTGCAACTTTTATGTCAAAATAAAAAGTAAAAAATAATTTAAATATATTGTACATACTAAAGGAATGGCTATAACATGTCAGCTAAGGTCCCAAGAGAGATTAAAGCCTTAATGACCATTATATTCTTTGTAATAACTTATCTTTTATGCATCTAGAATGGAGCTAAATACCTATACCTGTGGGAGGACTGAGGAAATAGTCGCTCAGCACATTTTTTTCAGAAGGTTTACTTGTCTTAAGGAACTCCGTTTGGAAAAAGCCAAAAAGAATAATAAACATCCGTAAACCCAAAATCCAAGAAATTATCTGGGGAACTTAAGAAATTATCATTATAGCCGGCCCGGTGGCGCACTGCTACAGTGCGCTGCTTGGGAGCGCGGCGGCGCTCCCGCCAAGGGTTCGGATCCCACATACAGACCGGTTCCCGCTCACTGGCTGAGCGAGCTGCGGGTGCAACGCTGAGGGTTGCGATCCCGTTGCTGGTCCCAGTCCGGTACGGGGACGACACTGAGGGTTGCGATCCGTTGCCGGGCACGAAAAAAAAGACAAAAAGGAAAAAAAAAAAGAAAGAAAGAAATTATCATTATAAATATCTTCATTTCTTGATAGCCATAGGGGATTGGTTTCAGGACCTCCTACAGATACCAAAATCCATGGATGCTTAAGTCCCTGATATAAAATGGCATAATGTTTGCATATAACTTATGCACGTCCTCCAGTGAACTTTAAATCATCTCTAGATTACTTATAGTACCTAATACAATGTAAATGCTATGTAAATAGCTGTTATACTATATTATTTAGAGAATGACAAGAAAAAAAATCTGTACATGTCAGTACAGATGCAGTTTTTTGTTTTTTTTTTTCAGATATTTTTGATCTGCACCTGATTGAATCAACAGATGCAGAACCCATAGATATGGAGGGTCAGCTATATTTAAGGAATTTAAGAAAAAGATTTCTTAAGAAATTATCTTAGGAAATTATCATTATAATTACCTTTGAAGTTTCCTGTGTGTTCTTCACTATCCTTCCCTTCCAAGTTATAACCACTATCCTGAATTTTTTGTTATCATTCCCATGCTTTTTTTGTTGTTTAATAGTTTGGTCATGTTTATTTTGTTTTTTTGAGTATTTCTTGGTGGCTGGCCAGTATAGGGATCTGAATCCTTGATCTTGGTGTTAAAACACTGCATTCTAACCACCTGCACAAACAGGCCAGTCCTAGGTCATTTCATCTCTGGTAAGCTCCTTGACCCAAGGCCCTCATCTTTCTCCTTTGTAATTTTAGTTGTTGATATTAAAGCAGTATACATAATGTAGGCACCTGATATCACTGACAGTAAAAGGTTCTGTAGTCACTAACTGAAGAAAGAGAATCCATTTTCTAAGTTTATAAAGAATTTTGAAACATGTATCTATTTTTAGCCACTTTTGAACACCATGAAAACTAAGTCGTGACATGAAGTTACCACTGATGTGGGTTTTAAAGCTGGTGACCTAAACCTTAAATATTTAGCATATAAAAGACCATCCCAAATGCTAATTTAGACTTTTTTTTTTTTTTTGTATAACTTCGTATAATGTATGCTATACGAAGTTATGCCGGATGTTGCATATGAATGAAATTTACAGAAATCAAAAGAGTTATAAAAGAATACTGTGATAATTGTTGGTCAACAAATTAGATCATCTAGATGAAATCAATAAATTCTTAGAAACATGCCACCTACCAAGACTGAATTATGAAAAGACAGAATTTGAACAGAATTATAGCTCGTTAGATGAGTGATCATCATTTTTCAGATTCCTGACACAGAACTCCATTGAGGATTTCTTGCAGGGCTGCTCATGTGGTGGTGAACTCCCGCAGTTTTTGTTTGTCTGTAAAATACACTGTTTCTCCCTCATTTTTTGAAGGATAGCCTTGCTGGGTATAGTATTTTTGGCTGACAAGTTTTTGCTTTTAGTATTTTGAATATATCATTCCATTTTCTTCTGGCTGTAGAGTTTCTGTTGAGAAGTCTGCTGTTAGTCAGATGAGGACTCCCTTACAGGTGACTTGATGCTTTTCTCATGCCATTTTTAAGATTTTATCTTTGAGCTTTGCCAGTTTGACTGTAATGTGTCTTGGAGAGGATCTTTTTGAGTTGAATCTGTTTGAGGATCTTTGAGCCTTCTGGATCTGAACATCCATGTCTCTCCCTATACCTGGAAAGTTTTCCGTTATTATTTCATCGAATAGGTTTTCCATGCCTTTTACTTTCTCCTCCTCTTCTGCAAAACCCATGATTCTTTTTTTTTTTTAAAGATGACTGGTAAGGGGATCTCAGCACCATGCTCAGCCAGTGAGCAAACCGGCCATCCCTATATAGGATCCGAACCCGTGGCCTTGGTGTTATCAGCACTGCACTCTACCGAATAAGCCACGGGCCGGCCTAAAACCCATGATTCTAATGTTTGTGTGCTTAAGGTTGCTTGCTAGCTCTCTTAGATTTTCTTCATTTTTAAAAACTCTTCCTTTTTTTGGTCTGCCTGAGTTATTTCAAAAAGACTATCTTCGAGATCAGAAATTCTTTCTTCTGCTTGCTCTAGCTTGCTGCTTAAGCTCTCAGTTGTGTTTTTTATTTTGTTGAGTAAGTCTTTTAGTTCCATGAGTTCTGCTACATTCTTTTTTAAGGTATAATCTCTTTGTAAACTTCTTCCTTCATATCCTGGATTATTTTTCTTGTTTCCTTGTGTTGACTGAGTATTCTTATATCTCAGTGAGTTTCCTTAAGATTGTTGCTTGGAATTCCTTTTCAGTCATTTCAAGGGTTTCTTGCTCTGTAGGGTCTTGTATTTGAGAATTACTGTGTTGTTTTGGTGGTATCATATTTTCTTGCATGTTTGCTTCTTGCAGTTGCTTCCTCTATTATTCTGGAGTGTGCTTTGAGGAGAAAAACATTCCCTTCTTTTTCTGGTCTCCACTGGTGACTCTACTGGTGTCAGTGCAGTCAAGTGTCTGGTGTGCTGCCTACATGGCAGCTGTGGATACATCTGTAGAGTTGACCTGCTTTTGTAGTAGCCATGACTGTGGCGGCAGCTGTGGTCAGCCACCTGCCTGGAAGTGATGTTTTTGGTGTGATCCTTGCCTGCTTCTGCATGGGGGATGCTGTCCTCGGCTCCTGCCTGTAACCCTGGATATTCTTTGTTTCTTACCTGGTTCTGGGTGGAGGGGGCTGCTCTCCGCTCCTGCCTAGGACCTCGCGTGTGCTCTCAATTTTTAACATTTTAGATACTAATTCTTTTTTTTTTTTTGTGACCGGTAACGGGATCACAACCCTCAGTGTCGCTCCCGTACTGCGACCAGCAACGGGATCGCAACCCTCGGTGTCGCACCTGCACCCGGCTCAACCAGTGAGCAGACCGGTCTCTATATGGGATCCGAACCCTTGGCGGGAGCGCCGCTGCACTCCCAAGCACCGCACTCTACCGAGTGCACCACCGGGCCGGCCCTAGATACTAATTCATTTTGATTATGTGTGTTTCAGGTATCTTTGTCCAGTGTGTCTGTTTGCTCTTTTTATGGTGTCTTTTGATGGAAGTTTTTTAATATTATCAATTTATCAGTCTTTAACATTGTGGTTTATCCTTCTTTTCATCTTGTTTCAGAAATTCCTCTTGCCCAAAGATTATAAAGATATTCTGCTCTTATATTTTCTTCTATAAGTGTTACAGTTTTTTTTTTTTTCCCACATATAAGCGTTTAATGGAGTTGGAGTTGATTTTTGTGTCTTTATGAGATAGGAGTGTATTTTTTCCCTCAGATATAAACGGCGCCATCCTTTCTGCATTCATCTACATTGTCAGTGCTGTCCTGGTTTCCATGTTTCATGGATCTGTTTCTGTCTTTTCCATAGACCAGTTTATCTATTACTGAGGCCATTCTATTCCTTTCTTAATTACTATGGCTTTGTAATTCTTTATCTGATAAGGAAACCATCTCAACTATACTTGTCCCTTTGCTTTTTCTTGCACATTTTAAAATTAGTGTGTTCAGTCCACAAGCACACACAAAAAAAATTGTTGGGATTTTATTGGAATTGTATTGACTCTGTAGATCATTCTGGGGAGAATTGACATAATTACGATGTTAACTATTCCAGTCTGTGAATTTAGAATATCTTCATTTATTTAAGTCTTCTTTGGTGTATTTTAGTAAAACTTTAAATGTTTCTTCATAAACATTCTGCAAATGTGTTGTTAAATTTATTCTTAAGACTATCTATATGATATTTTTAATTGAGATATAATTCACACACCCTCTTAAACAAAGGGTTTTAGTTATAAATATAGTTGTGCCAAAAAAAAATAGTTGTACAACCATCACCACTGTGTAACTCTAGAATATTTTCGTTACCCCAAAAACAAAACTATACTCATTAGTAGGCATTCCCTATTCTTCTTTCTCCTAGCCTCTGGCAGCCATTAATCTACTTTGTTTCTGTATGGATTTGCCTGTTCAGGATATTGCATATAAATGGAATCATACAATATATGGCCTTTTGGGACTGGCTTCCTTCACTGAGCATAATGTCCTCAAGGATCATCCATATTATAACATGTCAGGATAGTGCTTCATTCCTTTTAAGGCTGAATAATATTCCACTGTATTGATATACTATATTTTGTTTATCTGTTCCCTAGGTAATGGACATTTGGTTTCTGCTTTGGGCTATCATGGGTAATGCTGCTATGAATTTTGTGCATATAACGAAAGGTTATGAAGCTTGGGTACAAAGCTCTGCATGTGTTCATTAGATCACATGCTTTACCTGTTAATTATGTTGCTGAAATCTTTTATGTCCTTACCAATTTACCCATGTGAACTATCCACTTACTGAATTAGGTGTTTTAAATTTCTTACTTTGATGATGGATTTGACTGTTTCTCTTTATAATTCTACTGATTTTTTGTTTTATATATTTCAAAACTATGCAAATAGGAACGTATGTTTCCTAAATCTTAGATTGGTGTTTTTCATGAAGTCTGAATTATGTCTTTTCATATTGCCTGAGGTCCATTCTGTCTTTCTTGTCCTTCCAAACTCTGATTGGATGTTATGTTAGACTTCCCTCAGGTCTCCATTTCTCTTAACCTACTTCTGTGTCTGTGTTGCTTTTTAGATAATTTCTTAGTTCTTCCAGTATTCTTGGTGAAATCTGCTCTTAAATCAGTCTATTGAGTTTTTACATTTTAATTTTAATTTTTTCTTGTATATTGGAAGTAACTTCTATTTTTTAGAGTCTCTTGCACTTTTCAAATATTTTTAATCTCATTGCTTCTTTGGGTGTATTCAAACACTTATTTTTTATTCTATGGCAGATTATTCTGATAATCTAATATCTGAATTTGTTGCTTTGCATCCCACGGATTTGTCACGCCTTTTCCTCTGGGTGTCGGAGCCACCAAAGATTACTCAAAGCCCAACTCTTCTGAGCAGTGAAAAGCCTGAAAAGGGGTTAAAAAATCTCCCAGAACCCTCAAGATAGAGGCATTCCTTCCATCTGGGAAATTAACCACAAATTGGGGTTCTCTTCCCGCATTTATTCTCCAGACCAGGAAGTTACAGGAAGAGAACATAGGTGGGTTTTTTTCTAAGTACCATTTAACAAGTTTAACAATAGAAGCTGGTTATATTCAGTAAGAAAAGCAAGGTGACATTCTATAATGCAATTTAAGTGGTCCACCAACAAAAGCTTGATCTTAGCAAATGTTGCTTCTCCCTACAGCAGCTTCCCAGTATCTTTAC